CCAGGATCGCTGGAGGTGGTTGAAGGGGAGGGGGCCATGGTTTTGGGCCCCAGGGCAGATAAGCAGCACATCACAATGGTCACCAGGCAACAGATCGAACCCTGCCTGAAGACGACCTAAAGAGTGATTTGGGAGCCAGCAGGGCCTGAGGATCTTTCCTCAATTAGAAATTCTGAACAGTTTGTAACCCTCAAAATGGGTTCATTGGCTTCACTTGAATATTAATGTGACTTAACGAGAAGAATTTTCGGGTACTGAAAGTGAAAACTAGGGCGGCTTTTAAGGTAACTGGGGAAAGCGAAAACCAGCATTAAATTCCCCAGAAACAAGGGCTGAAGAAAGTGGCCCTGTGCGAGCAGAAGGTGGGCCCCGGCTTCACAGGGGCTCCAAGGAGCCTCTCTCTCTGGCAGAAAGAAGCAGCTTCATTTTTAAGAACCCCATCCCCGACAGAAGTTTCATTTCTCAGCCAGGGAATGCACACTCCTCCAAAGCTGATCATGTGGTTGAAAATGCACGGTGCATGAATATTAAATCACAAGAACTAGAGCACGTAAACCCACCCAACCGTCATTCAGACATTCTCCCAATGAAGAGAACTAAAAATATACATGGATCCGCTCCAACCGCCTGGGCTATGCTGGGAGCTCCCGGAATTTCTTAGAAACCACTTTTGTACTTAATCCATATGCTTGTCATGTGATTTTCCTTTCAGCGGAAATGCAAGCTCTGTTTTAGGTGCCTGGGAGCAGCGGGGTGTAGGATGGTAAGGGAAGAGCAGCAGGATTTAATAGTTGCATTCAGGATCATGCTAAAAACGGACTTACAGTAGCACATGCCTGACACCCTTCCAAGATGAGACCCATTAGAACAGGGAGGAGGCAAGCAGGACTGAATCAACCAGAGCATGCAGTGGACCGAGTTTTCACATATTTTGAAACAGTGCATTGACTTTTAGCATCAACAAATGCTCAACATTATTACCAAATGGCCAAATTATAAAATATGTTGAATGTGTGGAATCAGCGAGCCCTTATAATACTGAGCTACAAGTGAAACACAAGTTAGTTGGCAGCACTCCAACAGGAGAGAGACGAAAGAGAGGACCGTCCGGCACTTGTGGGGTGGGGGGGAGAAAAGGGAAGAAAACGGAGGTAGGAAAATCTTTATCTGCCCTTTGAGGATGGAAATGGATGGTCAAAAATAGTCGCTTCAAGAGAGGGTGGGACCTTGGGATGGGAGACTTCAGGTGGGGGACGTGTGGAGGCCGGGCATGTGCCCGCCATCCCCAGTGTCCTTGGCTGCCTGGCATCGGCCTTGAACCTGTGCCACTTGGGTCTCTGTGTCCTCTATGCCCAGGACAGCCAGCACCAGCCCTTCCATCCCCTATAGGGGGTCCCTCGCTCCACAGAACGGACTGAGGAAGTGGGAAGCGGAGGGGGAGTTAGGGAACAAGCTGGGAGCCCTGGTTGTGTTTCTCCAGTTTTTCGTGACTGGCTGACTGCGTGAAATGGATGAGTGCACTTAGGGACACTTACTCTCAACAGACGGTGACCAAGCCACCTTGGGGGAGACGAGAAAGACCAGGAGTGGCGATGGTCGTGGCAATTCCTTTGATTGCTTGTGGCTACTGGGAGGAGGGTTATTGATAAAGGTGCGAGGGTGCCAGGCTTGGGGAGAAAGGCTCCAGGACCAATTGTGAAGGGCTGCCCGGAGCTGAAGGGGACGGGGCCACACGGCAGCATGCCTGCCATCCCCGGTGTCGGAAGTAGCATTTGAGCTGGGACTTGACGGACAGGGAGAAGTGCATGCTCTGGAAAGGGGGACAATGTGGGGACAGTGAGAGCTGCTCCTGCCAAAAGGGGCGGGCACTGGCTGAGACGTGGGTGGGTGAGCTGGTGAACAAACCAGGGGCTAGGGAGAGGCGGGCAGCGGAAGGCTTCGTCTCCTCAAATTATTAATTCTGTCTGTGTTGTCCCTCCCCTGACCTCAACCCTACTTGTTCCTCAAGCTTTTCCAAGTCTCCGTGGCTCATTGGACCCTCAATACAGATTTGGTAGCAAAACAAGTACGTAGCTGGTGTTCCTTAAGAATCGTTGGAGGGCCCTGTAGATAAACAATTCTCTCCAGCCTAGGAGTGGCTGAACCAACTACCGGTTTCAGGAGCCAAAAGCAAGCCACAGGCCAACACTAGACACATTAATTTTAAGTTGCTTTTTCTTTGACAGGAAATAATTTTCTAGATATAGTGACAATTCTCTGAATTCCAGGCAAAAGGGCTTGTCACCAAGGTAACCATCACCAAGGTAACCATCACCACGGCAAAAGGCTAATAATGTAGCACGTAACTGTAAGACATGCTAACCTAAACATGTGTGACCTAAACAAAAGTATGTTTTCCCCTTCCATCGGCCTTTGCTAATAATTCTCACTGGCCTTTAATAAGAGTTACAGCAGTGCTAACATAACCTTGACCTTGGGCATTATTTTTAAAGGACAGCCTTATAGAGCCCATGGAAGGAAGAACCACGATCCTCAAAAGCATGCTGGGTGCAAAGAAGGTGCTCTTCCCTAACTGAGTAAGTGACAAGTCACTGTCATTTCTCTAGAAACCACTTCACTTGGTTGTAAGTTTTTAAAATACCCACACAGAAAAACCCAACGCCCATAAAAAAAGCCACTTCAAGTCCTGAAAGCACAGTGGCTTTTAGAAGGTCACATAGGATTAGGCCCCCAAGTTCATCCTCTTTCACACATTTTATAGAACATAAATTATGACCATCTTAAAAAAAGAAAAGCAATAATGAGAACGCGCCACTCCGACCAGAAAGCAGAGGCCCGTTCACGCATCGAAGTGACGCATGGTGGGGACAGCTCCCCAAATCGGCCTGGCTGCTGCTGCTTCTCAGGCAAAGATGAACTTGGCCCGCTTGCTGGCCTCCGCAGGCAGGATCTCGGTGGACGTTTTTGCATGGCTAAGAGCCAGATGGGACAGAAAAAGCAAGGTAAACTCTTTGCAAATTAACACCACTGAGCTGCTGGCACACGTCTTGTTTCCCTTCACTCCGTGCCTGGGTGTTTGGAGCTGGAGAAGCGAAAGACCAGGGAGACTGGACGTGGGCACTGTTTTAACGCTTCACATCAAGGGACAGCGCAGATCTGGCTTCTGGTTTCGTGACCCCAAGAAATAAAAAAATCTCCTTGAACATGGCTAACACTCTTAGGAATGGCCAGTGATTTTCCCACAGTGGCCAACGTCAGCTTCCTGGTGTCACCAGTTGATGAACCGGTCCGACCCTGGCAGTGTCACTGAGATGTGGCCTCTGCCACATGGAGCTGCTGCCTCCCCACACCCCTTGGCCCCCTAAAATAGTGTTCTGCGTGTCTCTACAACCGATGGGAAGAAAAGTCAATGCTCAAAAGAAACAGAACAACAGAGCTAAACTTTTACTCAAGGAAATTCCTTCCACTCTTTAAAATAATGCTGAGGTGTTCTGAAGGAAAAATGACACATCAGTTCTTTGAAAAATAGCCCCAGACAGAAATACCTCCTCTGCCGGGTCTGACTAAGAATCGCTATTACAGAATTCACACATCTGTGAGTGTGTGTAGTCGTAGCAAAACCACAAAGCTTAGGAAACACATTCAAGTACACGGTTCTACCAAATCAGCCTGGAGCCCTTGTCAGCAAAAGGCAGGCGCCTCTGTATCCAGGGCAGGGCTCCGCCTCCCAGGGTGATGAGATAATTCACAGACCAGTCGTCAGTACCGCTTGTAGTAAATAAAGGGCAGGAAAGAAAAAGAAACACATCCCAGAGTAAAGCTGGGCCATGGATGAGATTTTTAGGCTGGGTGGGGAGAGAGTCGGAGAGTTCTGGGAAGCCCCTTCTATGGGGTAGATCCATATATTCATTTTTCTGGAGAGTCTATAGCTTCCAGAAAATTCTCAGGGGTCTCTTGACCCTCCATACCACGCCCCCCACACACCCACGGTGGGCCAGGGGAAGCCCTCATCACCAGCTGCCCAGTTCCTTGTAACTACGTGAAAAGACAGGGTGGTGTACCCTGCCCCCCAAAAGTTGTAATATAATAATTGCTGGGCTGTTTGTGCTCAAAAGGTGGTGTAGCAGTAAAACGCCATGACAATTTGTGACTGTAATCTCAGCCTCCAGCGGCTGTAAGTACATCACTCGCAGTGGTCATGGAAGGACCTGCTCTCGGAGAGTGTTAAAGGACACTTGTCCACATCATTGACTTGGTGTCGGACCAGCAAGCCACTCTTGACAGATACTAATGAAAGATTAATGAAACCCTTTTGTTTGTTCTCCTGAAATGTGTAAGAGCTTTCCTGGGGAGGGGTGTGGGGGAGGGTAGTTGGAGGCCTAGGTTGCTTTTAAAAAACACACAACAGCCCTGGCTGATGTAGCTCAGTAGATTGAGCACGGGCCTGCGAACCAAAAGATCGCGGTTCAATTCCACATCAGGGCACATGCCTGGGTTGCAGGCCAGTTCCCAGCAGAGGATGCACCAGAAGTAACCATATATTGATATTTCTCTCTTTCTCTCCTTCCCTTCCCTTCTGAAGCTAAATAAATTAAACACACACACACACACACACACCAAAAAAAATTAAAAACGCCTAGAAATCACTCCTAGAAACCTGAGGAAATCTGAGGGCATGTGTAGATGTCAGCCGGTCCTGAGGTCACTGTCGACTTTTGTCTTCAGGGGTCAGACCTTTGAGGTCTAATTCCATCACAAGAGGCCGGAAGCACAAAAGGGACAGCCCCAGGGGTAGAGGAAAAAGTCACAGGGCAGTGGGTACAACCCATAAACCCAACCTTTTGACTGAATGGTAATGCATCCTATAAAGAGGCTTGGCTGGAGAAAACGCCCAAGCTGAGTATTTCCCACATTAGCTGCACTTTCCCTAAATAGCCTGTGGCCACCTCCCCCCAAACTGCACCACGAACAGGAAGGGAGAGACCAAGAGAGTCACTTACCAGATGCAGGTGGCTGGTCACTGGAGGGGCCAGGGCTGCCCCTGCTGGAGCTGGGAGGCCTGAGGTCAGGCCCATCGCCAGGCTGGCCTGTGGCCTCTTCCTCGTCCGCGGCTTCTTCGGGCGGCAGGCCCACGCCATAGGCGCACTGGGGCAAGGGTCCAGTTTGAGGGGACCCCAGAAGGGGCTCTGGGTCCTCTCCAGGGGGGTTCCCGCAGCCCGGGCAGCCATCGGCCGAGCTGGAGGCCGCCCAGTGGGGACAGTTGGCGCCCTCCACTTCTTTCTGCAAGTACTTTTCGCAGGACAAGGGCATCCAGTCGGTCCTGCCCGGGGCCTCGGCCAAGCGGCAGGTTTCAGAGTCCGCCAGGCTCTCTGCCCCGGTGAGGCACTGGCTCAGGCTGTCGTTCTCCCCGACCTCCAGCGGCTCTGAGAAAGGGGGTGCGCGTCTGCTCCCAGGCTGAGCGAGGGACAGCGAAGAGTCCGGGGTCTGGGAGGGCCTGTCCACGTACTCGTCTTCCGTGGGAACCTGCTTGACGAGGTCCCCCTCCGTCTCGCTCACCAAGGTGAGCAGCGTGGCGTCTTCCGCGCTGGCACAGGGGCCTCCGCCCACACACGCTTCCCTGTCGGGACAGCACAGGTCTTCGGGGCACATCTTCTCCTCCAGCGTCAGCAGGAGGACGCCCTCGCAGCGATCGCGCCGACTACAGGCCTCCACGGGAGGGCTGGCCAAGCTGCTGCCGGAGGACGCCTGCTGGTGGAAATTCGGGGGGCAGCGGCGTCAGTTCCCGGCTACCAGAACCTGGCTCTGCGGGCCACACACCGGAAAACCGTGTGCATGGCGCGGACTTCCAACCATAAGAAGACCAGCTGGTTCACTCGCTGCATAGCACGTGGTGTTATTTTTAAATGACAGAGTGGGGAGGCCCCCTAAGACGGACTACAACCAGGAACGAAGGCATCTAACTGCAGTTCACATGAATAGCCCGTTCACATGGACGCAAGGGCAAGAGTCTACCCAAATAACTTCACCACCCAGAATTTTGACTACGAACTCTCAATCTAAGTTTAAAAAAACAAAACAAAACCCAACAAACTCTAAACAGATACTGAACTGTAGTTAGCAGCTTTGTTTTTTTGCTGTGGTAGGGCCTAGTAATTCTAAAACCACTTTCTATGTACTTGGGAATTGAGCCAATCAGTAAAGACGGTGAGTACAATAGGGAGCAGATTCCTACTGCGGGAGAGGAGACGATTCCCACAGGGAACCAGGGGAGATTAGAATGGGCTGCTGGGGTGGGAACCGGAGACATCAGTGCAACCGCGTGGCTTAAAATGTACATATTCTTACCCCTGAGAAAACTGGTCTAAAGGGCACCATGGGATAACTAGGGAAATTTTCGTATCAAATGTGGATTGGATAATGGTAGGACGCCACTACGAAACTTCTTGATTTTGATAAATGAACTGCGGTTAGAAAAGTGAATGTCCTGGCTCTTAAGAAATTCGCAACAACGTATGTAAGGGTAGTGAAGCACAATGTCTGCCCTTCACCCTGAAATGGTTCGAGAAGAAAAATACGTACATCCACAACCATACAGAGAGAGAGAGAGAGAGAGAGAGAGAGAGCAAATAGTAATGCAACATGAGGAAGGGCGAGCAGTGGGCAGCCCTGAGAACAGGGCTTGTGGGAGTTCCCTGGGCCATCCTCACTGCTCTTCTGTAGTGTGACAGCATCTTGAAATTAGTGGCCACCAAAATGATGATCAAAGCAGGTATCAAAATTAGTAGTTACCGAAACAAGGACAGTGGAAGCTCTTTCCTTCTAGAAATCTGTACTCAGAGATCAAGACTGGCACTAAAAAATTCTATAATATTTGTGCAGAGAGGTGTCAGGAATCAGAAATGAAATGCAGTACAAGAAGGATGGACACCGGTCAGGGCTTTGGGTCATTCTGAGGGGGTCAGCTCTGGGACCTGGGGTCTCATCCCTTCAAGGAAATACCACTTACACAAGGGACTCAGCATTTGACTCGTTAGTCCAACCCCACCCAGCCCAATTGTGAAAAGGACTTTAAATTTACCTTATTTCCACTTACGCGGTGGCATGCCTCATTGACCCAGCGCCACAAATTAGCTAGAAAAACAAAGCAAGGTCAGGTCTTTGCATTATTATTTCCTGTTTCTAAGTCACTGACCACTACGTCAGTTCATCATTATCATTAAACATAACCTTCTGCATGTCTTTCAGAAAACGTTCCTAAGAGTAAACACATTCAAAAGAAAATCAGCCAATCTAAAGGCTATAAAGACGTCTCACTCCTGCTCCTCCCAGCAAAAACAGAACTTCCCGACCCATGTGATACAAATCATGATCCACTAGTGTCCCACTGAATACAGGCAACATCTGAGGGTGTCCCAGCTGCTGTTCTCAGTTCCTTAGCAATTTTCCCTTGACTACAAGGGACTAGGCTGGGCATCGTAGGCAAATGGAAACAGCATGGGTCTAGGAGACTGGCTCTCCAGTGAACAAGCTCAAATATATGTACAAGAAAGGTCAAGGGCATACCGGAAGGCTGCGGCAGACCTTGATGAGTTCCCAGAGGCCCCAAATCCTTTTCAGCTATCCCCTGTTGCTGCTCAGAAAAAAGAAGACTATTCTGTGGCATATACATGTTATATCTTTTTAAAAGGAAAGTGGTAAAACTTAAAAAACTGAATCTGAATTTTTAAAAAATCTATAAAATTATATCATACAAAGATAAAATTTTATCCCACCACCAGTGAATTTTACTGTTGAATTCATGGTTGTCAATCCATGGGAAGATAACCATGTCATAATAATAGCTGCTAATACACCTATTATGTGATCTGGTCCAGTTTATTTAAATTCTCTGAACCTCAGTTCTCCCATCAATAACAGTGCCTACCTCCTGGTGCTGTTGTAGAGATTTAGTTAGTATGTTAAAATGCACACAGCAATGCAGTATTCAAGTCCCTAGTTACGAGGCTGTGAGGGAAGTGAAGCTTCATTAAATAAATACTCAAGGCCCTGGCCGGTAGCTCTGGGTGAGAGCATCACCTGGCGATGCTGAGGATGCGGGTTAGAGCCCGAGCAGGGCACATACGAGAATCAACCAATGAATGTATAAATAAGTGGAACAACAAATTGATGTCCGTCCGTCTGTCTGTCTGTCTCTCTCTCCTCACCTGTGCCCTCCCTGTCTCTTTCTCAAATCAATCAATAAAAAATATTCATTAATAATCAGGCTTTTAAAAATTGGATTAACATTGCTCTCTGCTTAACACTGGTATCTTCAATCATCATCTTCCCTCTTTAATTAATCTTTGGATTGCCCCAGTGTGCGAGTAGGTAATGTAATGTTAATGGGAATAGCAAGATAAGCAGAGTTTCGTGCAGTGCGTGGATGTAATGGGAGAGAACTGAGCAAATTGCAGCAAAGCAGAGGCGGGCAAGGTAAGCAAGTGAGCAGCTGAAAATGGAAAAGGATGGTGAGACAGCAGAGCTTCAAAGGAGAATGAAGTGACTTATCAAAGCATAAGTGACTATGAAAGTGACTTACTGAAGCTTTGAAGCCTTAAAAATTACACTTTTTTTTTTTTTGCCATGGCTGGTGTGGCTCAGTGGATTCAGCACTGGCCTGTGAACCAAAGGGTGTCTGGTTCAATTCCCAGTCAGGGCACATGCCTGGGTTGCAGGCCAGGTCCCCAGTAGGGGGAGCTTGAGAGGCAAGCACACATTGACCTTTTGCTCCCTCTCTTTCTCCCTCCCTACCAGTCTCTAAAAATGTCTATAAATAAAGTCTTTTTTAAAAATTACACTGTTTAGCTTTAGTGTATAAAGGGCAAATGTGATGTGATACAAAAAGACACTATTAAATAATTCTTTGGTACAAAAGTTACTCTCAATAAACAAGATGACACTTGGTTATTCATTCTCAAAACAAGCACTTACATTTTACTGAACGTAAGAGAACTTGTTTTCATAATTTTAGATTCATATTTCCAGGTAACAACCCAACCAAAACCTTCCCTCCCCCCACTGACCTGAACATTTTGTCTCTGTTTTAACTGGGTACATTAAAAATGCTGCATTTTAGGATACATGCAACAAACCCCACCTACCCGACACCACATCACCTGCACAACGAAACAAATGGTTTAGGAGACAGCGGTGTCCTGACCCTGCGATCTCCTTTGTTTGCTACATAAATGGGCACAGCAGACTTTGTTTGTTCTGCCAGAGAACGACCAATTAGGAACAGAGGGCATTTCGCCTTAGTTTAAACACAGCCACCGCGAGGCACTTATTCTAAGTGGGTTGCCACAGGCGGTCAGTGGGTGCCATATGCATCTTCCGAAGCACAGACCTAGAAAGGTGTCTATTTCTTTCTTTAAGATTCACTTCCCAGTCCCACGATACCTGTTAGCGCTTTCCCCTTTTTCCTGTAGTAAACGCCAGAGATGACAGCAGCAACTAGCACCACGGAAATGAAGAGAAGCAGGATGACCAAACTGGGCAGGAAAACCTGGGACTCTGTGGTGGAGGCAGGCGAGAAAACAGTGTCGATTTTGTTTTATTCTCTAAGCTGAAAAGCAACATATGCTGCCCATCAATCCATATACACACACAGTGTTAGTTATCCATTCCAGAGTAGAAAATAATCAAGGAGTAAATACTGTATCTGGTATTAAAAATACTGACAAGAGCAAGTCACTAAAATGAGGGGAGAGATGACCCTCCAGCCAGGGCATGTAATTTGGGGACGGGACCTAGAGGGGCTGACTACTCTGGGCACATCACCAACCCATCTGCTCTCCGGAGACATACCGTCTGAAAGTTTCGGAGACTGCAGAGAAGAACTACAAACCACATCCGATTTATTGGTTCCATGACGAGCTTCTGTCGCTCCGAGACTGGTACAGCTGTGGGGGGAAAGGGAGTTAAGTGCTTTGGTTTTATATTCTTGCTTTTTAAGAACAGCTACAAAAAGCTCTTCTCCGCTAGACTGCTAGCTCCTTCAGGAGAGGAGCCCAGGTCTTCCTGGACGCCAGGACCCTCAGTGCCTATCAACACATCACGCGGGACAAATGAATGAACAGCAGTGAATGCTGCCCCTGTTTTCCAAGAGCAACTCTGAGACAGCATTAGATTGGTGTCTTCTGCAAAGAAGATGCCAAATGCTTCAGTTGCTAAGTGATAAACTTTTGGTGAATGCTCTTTTGAAGTTGAAAATGCAGAAAATCTTTTCAACATAATATTTGAATAAGTGGATCAGAAAATAAACATTTAATGGAAATTAATATATTGGGAACTGAAAGAATCATTATACTGATTATTAATCTTCAACGAGCAAACAATAAAAGGATCCAGGCTCCACTACAGAGCCACTGACGTAAATGTGAAATGGTATATGCATGGGATGATTCATTCGAAACGATTATTTATTGCACAAGACTGGAAACAACCTCCATGACTCTCAATGGGAAACTTACTAACTCAATTACGGCACAACTCTACAATGAAATATTACATACCTATAAAACACCACGGAGCTCTAAGGAACTAATATGGAATGAGCTTCCTTCAAGATACATTATGTGAAAAAACCCACAGTGTTTAGAGTATGCAAACATTTGTGTAGCTGGTGTGACTCTGTTGGTTGGAACATCGTTCTGTAACCCAAAGGCTGTGGTTGGATTCCCAGCCAGGGCACAGGCCTCGGCTGCGGGTACAGCGCAGGTCTGGATGTATACGAGATGCAAGCAATCGATGCTTCTCTCTCGAGTGAGTGTTTCTCTTTCTCTCCCTTCCTCCCTCTCTAAAAGCAATGAAACGATGTCCTCAGGTGAGGATAAAGGGAAAAACATTAAAAAAAACCCACTTATGTAAACACGAGGCTTCTTATTCACATACACAAATCTCTGGGAGAAGTGGGGACAATGAGTAAATGCTAATAAGCATCATCGATTATTTTCAACTAAATAAGGTTAGAAACAAAAAACAAGAAGCTGCAAGTCTAGGCCAAAGACTGATCGAAAATGACTTTAAAAAGTTGCACGCAGTGCCTGTCACGTCAGACTGAAGAGCTGGTTGGACGGGTGTTATTTTGCCGACATTGAATTGACAGGCTTTTTCCGTTTTGAAGACAGCGTCGAGAGGAAGCCTCATCAAACTCAATCCGTGAGTGTCCCACAGATGAGGCTGCACAGGCTGAGTTTTTTGACACCGACAAACTCTCTGGGCCCCTTCGCTGTCACTTACTTGGTCCAGGGTTTGCATTTTTCTGTGGAAGAAAGGGTGTCGGAGAAATAGCCCATGAGGCAGGGCTCACACACCGTGTCTCTGTTGAGCCGCACTGTCAAAAAAACCAAATGGACAAAACAAAGAGAAACCAAACAAGGACACTTAGAGATCAGCCAGGACCGTGGTCCAGAGGACAGCTCTCGGGAGCTTGCCCCCTGCCTCTCCCATCCGTCCCTGCCCTCGCCAGCAGCTGGGGTTCATTGCTTCCACCTCCACAGGCGTCCACCCCCATCCAGCAGGAGGTACAGTCATTAAGCTCCGGTGGGTAACTGGCTCAGTGTCAGGCCTGGTAAAAATGCCTTCGAATGGCCTTCCCCTGACTGTCACACTAGTGCCAGTGTCCCGGTTAGGTCCCGACCCTCTGCTGTTCGGAGGCACTGTCCTGGCCACCGGGACAGCTCCCCTGCTGTGAGACCTCCCCTCTTGGGCTTTTGGGCTTTCATCAACCTCCCTCTGCAGAGAGGGACAGTCCTTTATTGCTTGTGAGGACAACTTCTTTACCTGCCCTCTGCTGACCAGCTTAATCTCTCCAGTCCAAGTATGGGAATGACAATGGCTTTCTAAACAAACAAACAAACAAACAAACAAACAAACTCCTACAGGTCTCTTTCTTTCTCTGTAACCAAGGGTTGGTAGCAAACTTTTTCTATAAAGGACCACATAGTAAGGATCCTTCGCAGGACTTCTGGCCTCTGCCACAGACACTTGTGGCGTAAAAGCAGCCATAGACAATATGTTTTTTAAAAAATGGATGTGGCCATGTTCCAATAAAACTATTGACACAAACACAAGTGGCGGGAGAGCTTCTGGACCCCTGCCGGGAGCCACAGCCCTGAAAGCAGGAATCGATCCTGCTTAGCAAGCTTTCTTCGACTCGCTCATATTCCTCGCAATCTGTGTTATTGAAATAGGAAATGTCTCAGATTTTCTATGTCTATTACCTTTACTGCTACTGACACCAAAACCACAAATCACTCTTGAAATGAGTAGCACTTCTTTGATTTATTGCTGTGAATAAAACACTAAAATAAGGAATTGCACGCTCTTTGTCCAGAGTCAAAGTACGTATATTCTTGATTTCTGCAATGGCCTCAGTAGGTAGGGTGCCTGCCCCTCTAATCTATTTGGTTAGCCTTAGAAATGATATTAACAAAAGCCCAGTAAACATTTAGTCACTCACATAAATTTGGGCAGCTTTTAAAAAGATAAACACACTCTAGGAGAGTAACCCTTAACGACAAAGAGACTTCTTAAAAAGCCACAAGGCAGGCAAGGCAGCGGGGCTTAAAGCGCACTGGTCTCCCCGCACTGGGCTTCCACGGCCACTCTCTGTAACTGACTTCCCAGGCGTGCCCTGCTGCAGGTGGCCTGTCCCTGTTCCCTTTCGTAGTCACACTGCTCCCTCCCTCTTCACAGAAGAAGGCATGCTTCTGACCCACTGCAAACCCTGCTACGGTGCCAGACCTCTGAGGGGCCAAACAAAGCCACACATCAAAATGCTGGTGACGCCCAAGCTCCTGTGTTCAGAGCACCTGGGCACAGTGTCTGTCCCTCCGTAGCAGAACTGTGACAACAGAAGCAAGGGAACTGGGACCAGGCTACGTTGTTCTGGTTCAAATACAGTTACCACCTGAACGAAGGGGAGTTGAGGGGTTTTGACTGCCCCCTACTGCATGCGGTCAAATACCCACATAGAACTTTTGACTCACCCAAAACTGAGCTACCAACAGCCTGTGGACCGGAAGCCTTACTGATACCAAACAGTGAACACATTTCTTTCCTGGGTTCCACGCTGTATTCTTACAATAAAGCTAGAGAGAATAAAGTGCTCCGAAGAAAATAAAAGAAAATACTGTATGATATTTATCAATACAGCAAGTTTTAAAACATCTGCATGTAAGTGGACCTGCGCAGTTCAAAACCATGTTGGTCAAGGTCAACGGTGTAGTGCAAGGTAGGGCAGGAGTAACATTTTCATCCCCCTGTGTCACCCCTCTATCCTCCACCTGTTGCCAGAAAAACAAACCATCCCCCAAGGAGCAAGGCAGAGAGAACATCGATTAGAAAAATGCAGAAAAGAAAGGAGACAGCACCTTTTTTCACGCAGGTGATGAACTTGGGAAAGGGTCCTGGGCCTTGTTTGAGAATCAGATTTCAGAAGGGAACTGGCTGTCACCAGGAGATTTATTTTAAAAGGGAAAAATCGAGTCAATATCTCGACAACCACTCTCTAAGTTACATAAAGGTCGAACCAGTGGTACGCCTGAAATGACTGTAATACTATATGTCAACTGTAACTAAAAACTTGAAAAAATTATTTTTAAAAAGTCAAGTCAGGCTTTTTCACAGAGGAAGCTTGTCTGGTTTAGTTGAAACATTTGATAACCAAGATCAACTGTCCAAGTTAGATTCTGTGATGGACATTTTCCTCCATATGAACTGGAAGCAATAATATTTTAATTCTGCTAACCCTTGTCCAAGTGTTCTGGGTTAAAACAACGGGCCTCTAAAAGGGAAAGACTCACAGTTATAAATAATTTGTCGAGTCTTGAAGACACTGCTTTGCTATATTTCCTAGAAGTCAGGAAGTAAGTGAATACTTTCCCGAGTCAAAAACATTTCCTTTTCTTAACTTTCGAGAGAGTTGAAGGACACGCTCTGAAGTGAGCAATCATTAGACACCACTTTGATGTCATACTACTGTGTGACCCTAAACGTGAAACTCAGGAGGGGCTGGCAGAACTGAGTGACACTCCAGTCACAGAATTCCGTCCTTAGCTATTTAGCTATTTGTATGAACAGGTTTCTCAGCACTTGGTGGAGACAGAATTAATGTGGAATTCTGTTGCATTTTTGCAATAAGTTGTACTTAACCATGAAGACATGAGCTAATTGAAAAAAAAAACTCCATTTGGTAAGAAGTTCATAAAGCAAAATAGATTCATTTTTGACCCATTGTGTAATAACTGTAGTAAGAACTTAGCCTAGAAGGAGTGTTTTTAACCCTTAGAAACTTGAGTCACAGGAAATTTTTTTAAAGTAAGATTTCAAACAGGTACCTATTTTTAAATACGAAAGAGCATGACAGGTCATTAGTCAAAACCCTCCAAGCACAAAAATACATTAGGATAAAATTCTGTTGTGAAGGTGAAATGAGTACAAACCAAAGGAGGGAAAAGAACTATGAAACATGTCCCACCGTCTGGGCGAGGAGCGCCTTTTTAAGTAGACGCGCTGGCCAACTGCCGTGGTGTAGCATCCATTGCATATCCTAGAAAGGGTTACTGTTGCTGTCTTTCTTGGAAATGAAGTCCTCAGCAACTCTTTAGATCGTAATAGAAAAAATGAGCTGTCAACTTAAAACTATGCTGGGGGGGTGCACGATATTTTTCAAAATTCTGCTAAGGGGGTTTCACAAGTTTGTTTGTTTGTTTGTTTGTTTTTTAAATTGGTCGACCCTGCACCGTGGGGTTCCCTCCTAAGGGGGAAGCCTAAGGCTTCACAGACTGAGGAGCCCAGAGACAACACGTGGGCCAAGCGCTCACATGCCCCCTTGGAACCGAACCTGGGCTCCGTTCCCAGGGGGCCCTCAAGCTTCTCCAGCGCCTCCCGGCCCGGGGAGCTGCCCGACACAGGGAAGGCGTTGCAGAGCCGGCTTTGGCCTCGGTGGGATGGGCTGCCGGCCTTGGTGCGAGCAGACGACGCGGGAAGCAGCCCCGTACCCGGGTGCCGGGCGCCAAAGCCAGGCGCGCACTCGGCGTTGCGGCGGCAGCAGTCGCAGTCCTCGCTCCAGTGGTAGCCGGCTGTGCAGGCACAGCGCCGCGGGGCCGTCCGGTTGCCGGGCACCAGCGCCACCAGGGCCTTGCCTGCGGGCGACAGGGACAGGGCGGAGAGGCAGCGAGGACGCAGGGCACGGCGGGGCGCACACCGTCCACCTAGCGCAGCTTCCCGAGGCCGGCCCCCCGCCCCCCGCCCCCACACAGCGCCCGCCGCCTCCCGGACACTGACTCATTCAGGACACTGAGTCCCCTGTGGGCTTCCTGTGCTGGCTCTAAAACATCCCAGTAGGGGTTTTCTCTCTCAATAATGAAGAGGCATGTGGCTTTTTAAAAAGCCAGTTTTCGTGTTAGCAGGGAGATTAAGGACTAGGGTGCTGATGAGTACTGATTACTCTAGCTAATGCAAAATAGACTTCACCGTTTCCTGATTTCTAGTAAATGCAAAAGTGATAAAACAGTCTTAACACGAAAGCTAGACAGGACCTAAGAGAATGGAGTTTCCGGGGGCTGGGGATTCCTCCGGACAGACTGCAGGGCCATTACTATTCAGGGTCAGAAAACTGGGGTCCCCGTGTAACTAGGAAGTGGCCCAGTCTGAGCACGGGCCTGAAGGCATACTCAGAAATTCGTCTCTCCCCACGCAGGATAATAACAAGTTTGTCTTTTCTCATAGGGCACAGCAAACCGCCCGAGTCTTGTGGAGGAGAGGTGAATGCCCCACGCAGGTGATGCTGTTATCCACTGATTCCTATTTGCAGTTTCACCCGCCCACAGAAATGTCCTCGTTGCCCCCAAATCAACACTGCTGGCCCTGTGGTGGAATCAGGAAAATTCTCAGCCACTCCACGGACATGCGTGTTGCCAGGTGAGGGTGAACAAGGCGACGCGTTCTGCCTTATTGCGGCAGCTCTCATACTGGAAACAGGCGTCTTTTCTGTGGTCCGCGTTACAGCCCTGCTCTTGGCATTTGGTGATATCACTGCTGAAAACGGCCTCCACACGCAACGCTGAGGTGCTGTCTGTCCATCACTCCCTAAGCCCCAGGCGGCTGCAGTGTGTCCCAGGGAGAGAATGTGTGTGCTAGATAAACCTGGTTTGGTCATGAATCACAGCGCTGATGGTTGTGCACGAATCGCATGTTAACGAATAAAAAATATGTACTAAATAAGGAACACGCACAACACAGGGTTCTGTGCTGACAGGCTGACAAAAGGACTGGGGCCCGAGGCCCACAGGGACCTGCCTCTCCCCCCGGACGCAGCGGTTCGCTGCCTCAGTGTTTGCTAGTTCAGTGTTGGTGGCGATGGTGCATCACCACGTGGAATAACGAGAGTCAACCGCACACACACGATACAGCGCAGCAACATTATTGAAACAGATCTTCTTCCCCTGTGAGACCCGCCTCACCTGGGCTGTCCAAACGGCCCTGGACTTTATGTTCCTGAATACATGATGGAGTTCATTATGGGCTGACGCTGGTGTCCCTCAAAATTCTACACTGGGCTCCTCACCCTGCATGTGGAGGTGTTAGGAGGTGGGGCCTGTGGGAGGTGATTAGGTCATGAGGGTGGAGCCCTCAGGAATGGCGTGAATGTGCTTGTGAGAAAGACATCAGAGAACTCTGACCAGGTGGCTCAGTTGGTTGGGCATTGTCCTGCTAAGCAAAAGGTCGCAGAGCAGGGCACCTGCCTGGGTCAAGGCATGTGCAAGAGGGAATCAATCCATGTTTCTCTCCCTTTCTTTCCCTCTCTCTAAACAATAAATTAAAGAGTAAAAACACATGGAGAAAAACAACAGAAAGCTTGCTTCCTCTCTCTGCTCCTGCCATGGGAAGACACATCAAGAAAGCAGCCGTCTTGAAGCCCGGGAGAGGCCCCCACTGAGTACCGGGCGGTGCCGGCACCTGGTCTCAGACGTCCAGCCTCCAGACCCGTGAGACGTACATTCTTGTTGTTCAAGGCCCTCAGTCTGTTTCTGCTATAGCAGCCTGAACCGACTAGAACGCCGTTCCAAGGGAAAAACCAACAAACCGGAACCCTGTTCCCTCCTTCCCTGTGTCAGGTTTCAGCCCAAGTTTCAGCATTCCTTATCCTCATTCCTTTGAAGCCCAAGCATGGTGAACCTGGGGAAACCTCTGTTTTCTTCTGTGTCCACTCTCTGAGGCCAAGGTCAGCCAGGCAGCCCTGGGTCACTGTCGCTTCCTTGAAAGAGTCTGACTCCAGCATCCCACATAAAGGCCGGTGAAGGTAAGCCTGACATCTCTTAAGTATCTGAGGGAGCCAGGCTTTGTGCTTCAGTCAGCGGTGGCAGTGGCAGCAGACAGAGTGAGTCTTCATTTCCGAGAGACAGCAGTGAGTCAAGGTCATTACTAAGCAGTGGGAAAGAAGACTTGATCAGATGCCTCTGCTCAGTGGAGTTTCCGTGTTATTGTCTCCAACCAAAATCTGCCAGCTGTCTCTAACATGTTAGAAAATGATGGTTAAAAAAAAAACTTACTTCCTAGTTTTCCCCACACGGGGGTGGCAGGGGAAGGGACCTATAAGTAAAAATCAATCCAGAAGCAATGGGCCTCCCTAGCACTCAGAGTGAGGTTGCTAAATAAGATGTTTTGCTGAAAGTGGTCAGGAATCCTTGGAGAAATGGCTGGTTCTGGGTGCAGGGCAGGCAATGTCCAAGAGGAGCCGGGAAGCGAGGGAGCTCTCAGAGACACGGGGAGTTGTGTGGGCTGGGGGCCACCTGGAGGAGGGGGGCGGAGCTAAGCATCAGTAAAACTAGTCCCTGAAATAGGTTGCAACCCTCCAATATGTCTATATCCAGGAGCCCACAATATTTATACGAATCCTTTGGAGAAAGCTTGGTGATCAAGTAGTTATTTTAAAAAGTGGTAACAAAGTTACAGGCATGCACTCTGCCTCTCCTGTGTGTGGTGTACTTGGGGGTAACAGAGTTGATGAGGGAAGTGTCTCTTTATAAGGCATTCCCCGCAGAGAATGAAGAAGGAATGGCAGAACTGGACCGCCACCTGATGGAAATGAAGCTGGGCCTTGACTGTCAACAGCTGCTAGTGTCCCAGAACGCTAGAAATGCAGCTATGTCGGGGTCCCCGGAGTAACTGCATTGTATCAGCAACCAGGGAGTTTTGCCAAAAAACAAAATGAAAGAACAAACCAGAATCTGAGCAGCCTTCTGGATCTAACAACGACTTTACAAGAAAGGTAGGAGATGAAAAAAGAGAAAGAAAGGTAGGCGATGGAAGAATCCGTTAAATGACACCAAGGAATGCAACCAACAAAAATCAGACCCTGGAAACTCCACGGGACCAGCAGCGAGGGCTCTCCCCAGATAAACCGAATGGAAAGGGGCAGGGGGAGGAAAGGAACCTCTAAGTTGAGACAACAGATGTATTTTGATCCTGATTCCTGCAAATAAACTACAATTTAAAAAAATGGATGCCCTGGCCAGCATGGCTCAGTTGGTTGGAGTGCTGTCCCATAACCAAAAGGCTCCAGGCATGACCCCCAGTCAGGGCACATACCTAGGTTGTGGGTTCGATCCCCAGTCCGGCACATACCGAAGGCAACCAGTTGGTGCTTCTCTCTTGCATCAACATTTCCCTTTCTCCCTCTCCCCTTCCTCTCTCTTTAAAGGCAATGGGAAAGTGTTCTCAGGTGAGGATAAAAAAATTTTCAGAGAAGAAAAAATCTGAGGCAAAAAAATACAGCGGTTTTATTAACTGCAGAGTTAATAAAACATTTATCATTTAGGGAAAAGGCCTGAGAGTCAGAAGATCTGAGCTGGAGTCCTGTTCCTCACTGGCTAACCCTGAAGAACTCATTCAGCTGCTCTCAGTCTCAGTTTTCCTCATCTCTAAAATGGGAGGATTAAATAACACAGCACGCAGAGAAGCGCTGTGGGAATGTCTGGTCGGGCTCTAAGGTGTGTCCCACGATTAAGCTGCAACACGAGCATTCCAGAACCACAAGTTCGCCGGAAGGATTGTCACATGGTGCTTCCAGGGTCAGAAGTGCAGCGTTCTGTGGTCGGTGGTCAGAACGCCCTCCTCTGCCCCCCGAGACTCGGCACTGCCGCATCTGAAAAGACCACTGAGCCACGCCTCGCACCGCCGCGACCGGCTCACCTGTGTCGCACACTTTGTGCAGCAAGCACTTCTCTTCTTCATTCCAGGTGTCCAGGTACTCATCCTGGCCGCAGGGCAGACACACGCTGTCAGAGGTGGCAGTGCACTTGGATGACATGTACGTTCCTGAAATGACAGGGGACGAGTGCCCTGATCAAAAACACCTGGGTGCCAAAGCAACAGAACAGCACCGGTCTCCTGGAACATGACCCCCACGATCCCAGGAAGTCCCCAAAGACAGTGACCCACATGACCCCAGCTGCTAAGGTGGCCTCTTGCGCCTGCTGCCCTGTGTCCCAACAGCCTCCCGGTCCTTCCATGTGGGAAGGCCCCTGCCCACCCGACTCCGCTGACCAAGGGGAAGAACAGTGGTCTCCAAACTCGTGCCTGTAGGACTTGAGGGGCTCCCTGGGGGTTACATTTCACCCCTCCCGCCCCACCTTCAAAATCCCCCTACCGTTAATCTGGACAAGTCCCTTCTTCTGCCCTGCACGTTCTGTGAGCTCATGGCTAACTTAGTCTGACCACACGCACACATACAATGGATCTTGGTTCGGCACATTCAAGAAACATTTGTATCGGAAGAATCTCGAGGGTCTTGTTCTAAGGTGACCACCTTTTCCTTACAGATATGCTCCGCTCCCCCAGGCAACGAGTGAATGGGGACCCTGTGGACTCGGGAGTTCCCTGGGCCTGTAGGAATGAGGCCACGTTCCGTCGGAACGGTGGCGGGGACATGGTCCCCAGCCCACCTCCCTCCTGCCCCTCAGCAGGTGAGCACGTGGGGAGACACTCTGACGACAGCGTCTAGGCAATTTCAGCTGCGGCAGTTTCAGTCTGGGTAAATCCTCCCCACCCGTTCTTCTGTCATAATACTGCTCAATAAGAGTCGGATTTCCTGTCTTGAGAGTCTGAATCACAAAGTGCTAACGCATGCGTTTAAAAGCCTTCTTGCCCTCTCAAGAAACAGTGTTTTGGAAAACAGCATTCTGGCCCGGAGTCAGCGCCGGTTTCTGAAATGGGTTTTGATGGGTAAGGGATTTTATCTCCTGCGACAAAGGTTTTTTGTCTTCAGAGTGACAGACGTGACCACCTGCCACTACCATAAAAAGCCCATCCAATCTTGTTTTTCATCTGGCAGATAGAAATTGTCCCTTAGATTAAAGGAATAGAGAACTAGAGTCCCAGCCCTTGGAGGGACGGTGACGGGCGGCCCGCTCGTACACACCTGGCTCACATTTGCGGCAGCACCGGCCGGAGTGCTCATAATGCCTCTCGCTGGCGCACGGAGGGGCGACCTGAAAAGTCACCTGAAAGAAAGTTGGCACAGGCAGAGATCACACACAAGTTCTCCTTTTGAACAAAACAAAAAGCACGAGTCGTCAAATTACGTTTCGGAAACGCACAGTCCTGAAACTCTGCTGCGTAATGTTATCCTCCCCGGAAATCTCGCTTCCCCGTTCTGGCCCATCCCCCCTGAGAACGGGCGCACCCCGCTGATCCTGCTGGAGACGCCGCTTCGCCATCCACTCGTGTTTTGGTTATGCTCACGGCAACATGATGAATGAAAGGAAAGTTCACAAACGGGGCGCAGGAGTTTGAACACTGCGCGGCACAAGCAACACACACAACTGGTCCCACTTCTGTGGGTCACTGTGCTGTCCCCTGTGGTCATAAACTGCAGGATCCAAGGAGCCCCTTCCCATGCACGGGTGGGCAAAAGTTTGTGTGGGAAATAACGCAAGCACGAGTACGTAATAATACAAGAAGGAACTTGGCTTCCCGGGCTCACGATTTACATCTGCTTTTGCTCACTCCTGTATAGCTTACCAGGGGATGTGGAATTTGGTCTTCAGAGCCGCATCTGACTTCTCTTTAACACTGCTTAGTTTGTAAAGTTTTAAATGTGCAGGGAACTTCACAAGTGGGGTAGCAAGGCGAAAGGAAGCACTGGGGCTGGGACCCGGGAGTCCCGACCCCCTGCCGGCAGAGGATGGACAAGCTGCTTAAGCTTTCTGAGTCCCTGTCCCCTCTCTGCATGACTCTAACACAAACGTGAATTTCCGAATCTGCCCATCTAGGTAAAACAAAGCAAAAAACCAAGCTTCTTACATTCACTTAGAGATTCTTATCGGTGCGCTGTGGAAAAGCTCTTTTCCTCACAGCCTCCTCAGTGTAAGAAAAAACAGCCCTGGGGACAGGCAGTCACGTGGAGATGGAACAGTGCACTGGGAGAGCCGGTTTGGCCCAGCAGACGGGGGTCGAGTTCCCTGCAGCGTCCTGGGACCCAGAGTTACACACCTAGCCCTCTGGGGGCTTATACACCAGGGAGAGGGGGCCCTGGGGGAGGCCGAGGAGCCCTGCCTCACTGGAGACGTCCAGGGCTGCCTTCGCGTGAGCTCCATCTTGCAGGGTAAACAGTAACTGGCCAGATAAGGAAAAGGGAACTGGTAGGTGGCAGTAAGGACAGAGGTAAAGACGACAGGTGTGGAGGGGGGCAGGGTGGCCATGGAGACCAGGAGCAGAGTGAAGGGTGATGAGCACAGTGATACAGGGGGCTCCCTCTGTGTGGGGATGGAAGGTGCAGAAATAACACGGCCATGGGCCCTCGGAATACACCTCAGTGGTGGAAAGGAGCTTCGGAGAGAGAGCACATTCCCAGAAAACCCCAGGCTGGCTGAGTGGGCGAGGGGAGGGGATGGGAGGAGAAGGGGTGGGATGCAGCCTGGGAGGACCTCTCTGACCTCACCCTGCCCAGGCAAAGGGCTCACAGGAGGGAGGCGGTCTGGGACGGTTACTTTGCGGTTGGTGAGAAAGCCCAATGTGTTCCTGGAGGCAGGTGTGCCAGGAAGGTCGTACCTGGACTTGCTTCCTCGACCCGGCTGACACGCCCCATGGCACCGGATAACGGGAGAGGGATAATATGAATCGGATGCTCTCTACCCAGTCACCCACCACACGACAGCGGCTCATGGGGAGCACCGTGCGTCCGCGGGGACCTGGGGAGGAGGATGAAACACCAAGCGCCCCACAGTTCCTCTCTGGTCTTTCTCTTCGTTCTCTTAGGAATCGTTTCTCTGCAGGCTGCTGCGCCCCCTCTGTGTCTGGCACAGTCTCATGTGCACGTGAAAGGCAGACGAGCGGAGGCACCGTGGTAAAGCCGAATGGGATTCATCGAAGCACCATGAGCTGCCAATGCCGCTGCAGCACTGATGGCGGAGTTAAAGGAGATAACTATGCGATCGGCGCATGTCAGAGGAGAAAGGTTAGCGATGCCTCTGACCCATCAGAGGGCTGCCACGGTCTCTGTCAGATAAGTGCACACTTTGTGTTACATACACGGGAAGGTTCTTTTTAGGGGAATTTGGCACAGGGCTCCCCCTGAAGCAGCTGCTGAGGAGCGCGGTCAGGTGCTCCTGGCCGGGCCCTGGGCTCCAGATCGCGGTTGCTGTTCAGCACGCAGACAGTTTGCTTTCATGCCCAGGAGTGCGGCTGGGGTTCATTCAACCCGCTGGCCCCCTCCTGGGAAAAATGGGGAAGTCACTGATTCCATGGCGACCAGAGGTCCCAGCTCTGAACCACATTTTCACAGGTTATTCTCGGAATTCATGTCTGTCTCCTCAGCTCACTGTGGCTTCACAGCGGATGCCTCTTCTTTTTGTTCATCTGAGATACAATGCACATAAAGGTCACTCCTTAACAGGGCACAACCTGGCGTTGTTTCGTTGTTTGTTTTTTAAACCTATTTGGTGGCCGTAGGGCAAAGACCACTCTATCTAATTCCAGAGCGTTCTCAAAACCCGCAAACTGGCACATGGACTTCACAGATCTGCGGGATTACAGCAATTTTGCGGCATTAATCTAAGTTAAGGTACAGCTCAAACAGAACCCAACTTTGTTCTCTGGTTACCTTTCACACTTTGCGGTCCACCTTCAACCTTCAAAAATGGCAATAAATATACAACTTAAAAGGCAACCTGCATGCAGAGCTATATTGAAGGAAGTATGGTTTAGGGGTAAATGAAGAGAGGCTGGAATTCAGGAGGATGTGACTTGGCAGGACCTCTCCTGTCCGGTCCTGGCTGTCTGCTCCCAGCTTTCTCTCCCTCTGAGGGCAGAGCTGGGCTGGAGGAGGAAGCAGCTGTTAGAGGACTGCGTGGCTGCCCGGGCCCCTGCTCTCACCCCGATCCTGTACCCACCCCTGAAACAGCCTTCCCGCTCACCATCTACACGCCAGTCCTTGTGCTTGGAAATCCAGATCTGACTTCCTGGCCTGTCTTGCATTTGCTGACCCCCTGGGGACTTGTCCCTTGACACCGACGCCTGGACTGGCCCTGCTGCCTGACTCCCAGATTCCAGTCCCTGAATCACACCTGCTTGGGCTCGGCTTCAAGGTAGCTGGTGCTAGATCTCGTCTGTGCCAGTCTCCGAGGCTGGCTTGCCACATATATCCTCTGAAAGGCACTTTCTTGGGTGAATAAAGAATGGTCTTCAGCCTCTCCCAGGCTGGCCTCTTGTTTTCCCTAAGGAGTTCTAGTTCAATGTCTACAATCTCAGCAGCAGCTGGGGAAGAGTCCAAGGCTGCCCAAACCCCTCCCGGTCCTCTGGCCCTTCCCTGGCTCCAGCCTCCGAGACCAAGCTCCCAGTAGTTGCAAGGTGGTGGTTCTTGCTATTGAGAGCAATCCTGGTAGATTTGAGAGAAAGTGTGCTCTGGGGAACAGGCGATTCAGCCTAAGTCTGCAGGCTTTCTGTCAAATGGGGTGATTTTGTCAGCGACCTCCCTTCTCTTTGCCTGGTGTGCCACAACGGAAGGCCTTGGTGACTGAGCTGCGATGTCCAAGTTTTAGTTATCCAGATTTCTTCCTCCTTTGCCTTTATTGCTCCTTCTGAAACAACAGACCTTTTGAGCCACAGTTGTTTTCATTAAGCAAATAACACAGAATCACTTTTAAAAACTGCTTTCAATCCTCGCCTGAGGAGAGAAACAGCAAACAGTTCCCTCTCCTACATGCCCCCGATCAGGGACCACGCCTGCAGCCCAGGTATGTGCCCTGACCAGGAAACGAACCCCAAACCTTTCAGTGCTCAGGATCACGCTCCAACCAGCTGAGCCACACTGGCCAGGGCTAAAATTTTGTATTTATTGAAGAACATAGTCACATGAAACAAAATGTAACAGGCACCACAGGCTATTGGAAAGTCTCCCTCCCGGGCAGCCTGCGCCACAGGTAACCAGCGCCACCATCTCCAGGGCACCTTTTTGTAGGTAAAAAGGAGTGACCTGCCACCCATCTGGGGGACTACTGCGTATCGCAGCTGCCTTGATGGCTGCTGGGATCGCGTCTGTTTGCGGAGCCTGTGTGCTGGGGAGTACGGCTTGGTGTGTGGTACTCGGAAATCGTGTCCATCACAGCCATGACCACCAGGGCCCTGCTAGAGTTCTTACTTCGCCATCTACAGAGACGTTCAGCCACAGAGTTTCCATCAAGTGACGCTTGTGTTCTAATAAATTGGCCCTGAATTAACAAGGAACGTAGAATCTGTTTATAACCAATACCCTCTGTGCCCCCTTTCCAGGTGAATTCCCCAAAAAGTCCTTGTTCTTTTACAGGAGTTAAGGTGGCACGGTGATGCATTTACTTCATGGGTCTCCTGTGGCCTCACCTCCCGGTGGGTTTTGTTTTGTGTGTGGGTTTGTCTTGGGGCCCACAGCCTGGAGTTTACTTTAAACGCTGACAAACTCTTTGGGGGTACGTACGTCCGCAGGGTGTGCAAGGTTTTGGGAAGCAGGAGGAAGCTAATATATTGTAAATCAAAGCTGTCCTTATAAAGCTCTGTGGATGTATTTCCTGATAAATTGCCAAGATGTGTCTAATTTTGAAAAGCCCGAAGCTGAAGAGACCTAGCATTTCTGCTGGCGGAGCTATGGAGACCCGTGGGTTTGTATTTAGGACCCTGTAGGAAAGGTGAACTGAAATATTTCTTGTTTTGTTTTAATTTTACTTATTTATATTTCGGAGAGAGAAGGGGGAGTGAGGGACAAAGAGAAGGAGAGAAACATTGATGTGCAAGAGATACATCTATTGGTTGCCTCTCACACGTCCCCCGTTGGGGACCTGGCCCATGACCCAGGCATGTGCCCTGACTGGGAATCGAACCAGCGATCTTTCGTCTCACAGGCCAGCTCTGAATCCACTAAGCCACACCAGCCAGGGCTGAAATATTTCCTTTTTATGCTGTTCATCAACCCAAGTGCAGTGAAAGTTATTACAGATACTAAAATGACTTTCTTGCTCAACTGAAAATCCAC